GGAGCAGTGGCTCACACCTGTAATCCCAGCACTTTGGGAGGCCGAGGCGGGTGGATCACCCGGCCAACATGATGAAACCCCTTCTCTACTAAAAATACAAAACATTAGTTGGGCCTGGTGGTGGGCGCCTGTAATCCCAACCACTTGGAGGCTGAGGCAGGAGAATTGCTTGAACCCGAGAGGCAGAGGTTGCAGTGTGCCAAGATTGCCCCATTGCACTCCAGCCTGGGTGACAGAGCAAGACTCTGTCAAAAAAAAAAATTTAGAACAAATTTAAATTGTATGTAAATGATACACAAATTAGGAGAATTGCTTGAACCTGGGAGGCAGAGGTTGCAGTGAGCCGAGATCGCACAATTATCGCACGATTGCACTCCAGCCTGAGCAACAAGAGAAAACTCCATCTCAAAAAAAAAAAAAAAAAGAAATTATAAAAAAAAAAAAAAAAAAAAAAAAAAAAAAAAAAAAAAAAAAAAAAAAAAAAAAAAAAAAAAAAAAAAGTTGGGGGGCTGGGCACAGAAGTGCATGCCTATAATCCCAGCACTTTGGAATGCTGAGGTGGGTGGATCACAAGGTCAATAGATAGAGACCATCCTGGCCAACATGCTGAAACCCTGTCTCTACTAAAAATACAAAAATTAGCTGGGCGTGGTGGCGCATGCCTGTAGTCCCAGCTACTTGGGAGGCTGAGGCAGGAGAATTGCTTGAACCTGGGAGGCAGAGATTACAGTGAGCCAAGATCGCGCCACTGCACTCCTGTGTTTCCTATGGCTGGCCTGTGCCTTCTGGAAAGTCCTATTACGTTTTAATACTTTTTAATACTGGCAGTAAAACTAAAGTATGGTCCCTATGTATAAAATCATCCGTGGAAAAATAAATACCAGTAGACTGCAAGCTCCTCGAGAGCAGAATTCACATTTTTAAAAATAGATATGGGATCAAGCTCTGTTGCTCAGGCTGATCTTGAACTCCTGGCCTCAAGTGATTCTCCCACCTCAGTCTCCCGAGTAGCTGGAATTATAGGCGGGAGCCACTGTGCCCAACAGAATGCATATCTTATTCATCTCTGTGTCCTTGATGCATGGCAAATAGTATCTTAATAAATGCCTATTAAACTGAACTATGCTATGTAGATGTATATTGTATACATATACATATTCACACACATATACATACATATGCATCTATAGAAAGAATGGAGGAAGCAAAAGATTACAATCATAAAGACATACGTGTTACTAAAATTGAACAGCAAAATACAAAAATGAAACATCTCATGAATTAAATGAGCATGTTCTATAAGCTCAGATGCTATAAACCCTTGAGTCTTTTCCTCCCTGACAAGCTTTTCGGCCATTTGACAGCATTTTGCCTTTGCCACCTGGCGACAGGATTGAAAGAACAGTGAATATGCTGACAGACTCTTCACTCTTCCCCTGTGGGGCACCTTCCACAAGTGTTCAATCAGAGTTCCCCCCATATCCATAAAAGAGCATCTTCTGTGAGCTGACGGCAGCTATGGAGTCACTGAAAAGGGAAATCGTGGCGCAGAAAATAGCGGACTGCCTTTTTGCACACCCACTTTGTCTCCAAACCAGCATGAATAAGGGAATAGGGAGCAAAATGAGAAAGAAATGCAGAGACAGATAGAGAATAATTCGTTTCTGAACGTAAGAGGCCATATGCAGTCACAGTTACACACAGACACTTAGAGGTGTAGATAGAATTGGAGACAAAACTCCCTGCTTGCCAATTTTACTAAATAAACATATTCACAGATTTCATAGCATTAATGAGCTGCAAAATAACTACATATTGAAGCTGCATGCAGCTGTCTGTACTGTTTGAGGATATTTTAAGTGAATATTAAGCCAATAATATAAATTAAAGAGGCCAAGTTCTCAAAGAGGCTTAAATAAGAAGCCAGTTAGCATGAATAGAACGAGCACATGGTTTGGATGACAGATGTTAGATTCATGGGTATTCATTATAACTTTATGATTTATCTTAAATGATATGCATTTTATGAGTTAAAAAATATATATTCTGGGGGGATGGTAAGAAGATAATAAGAAAAACATTTCAAATTGGTTTCTAGGTGAGTACAAATGTTTAAAGTTAAAAAGATGAATGCCTTGTAAAAAAAAAAGAAAAATGTGTACCAATGGATGAATGCCTTGTAAAAAATAAAAATAAAAAAAGATGAGGCACAAGTTACAGTTATGATATGTCGGTAATGATGCTCAGAGCTGACTAATACATTGTCTGCTGCATTATCTGCTGATAGCTTTGACACATTTCTGAACTGGGCTAAGAAATATTTATTGCGATGCCAACAAACCCGTGGAGTGCTGAATTTTAACAATCCAGTCACAAGCCTGACTTTTTATTGCATTGAGCATTATAGAAACAAGACTTATACTCTGTATGATTTATAACTAATATTAGAGGAGAAAGAGAAGAACAATGTTGCAATTTAAAATATGCATCATAATTTATAAAACATTTATAAAGAATATATTCACAGGCCGGGCGCGGTGGCTCAAGCCTGTAATCCCAGCACTTTGGGAGGCCGAGGCGGGTGGATCGCGAGGTCAAGAGATCGAGACCATCCTGGTCAACATGGTGAAACCCCGTCTCTACTAAAAATACAAAAAATTAGCTGGGCATGGTGGTGCGTGCCTGTAATCCCAGCTACTCAGGAGGCTGAGGTAGGAGAATTGCCTGAACCCAGGAGGCGGAGGTTGCAGTGAGCCGAGATCGTGCCATTGCACTCCAGCCTGGGTAACATGAGTGAAACTCCGTCTCAAAAAAAAAAAAAAAAAAGAATATATTCACATATATAATTTTTACATGTACCCCTAATCTCTTCCAGTTTAGATAATATGAATTTCTGAAAGTGGCTGGCTCACGCCTATAATCCCAGCACTTTGGGAAGCCGAGGCGGGTAGATTACCTGAGGTCAGGAGTTTCAGACCAGTCTGACCAACATGATGAAACCCTGCCTCAAAAAAAAGGAAAAAAAGAAATTAAAAAAAAAAAACAATTTCTGAAAGTTAGGCTTTTATTACGCAAAAACTTCTAGCATCTCAGACCTGCCATGCTCCTAATCAACCTAGAAGGGTGTAGGAAAACATGCTAGACAAGCCAAGAAAGAACAGATATAAGGACCACCATTACCAAGTTCCTTTTTTGTGCTAAGCACACTTACAAAGGTTCATTCCTCAGAAAGTAGTTATTTTTATCCCCATTTTACAACTAATAAGCCTGAATTTAGGAAAGCTAATTAACTTGTGCTTATAAAAGTGATTGTCTCAATGGGAAGAAGATAGTCTCATATTTGCAATAAGAAAGTTATTTTTCTTCAGTAATTTCAGCAATAAAGATGTTTCTGTTATTGTGGCCTAAAAATTAGAAATAGTTGATCAAAATAGATAAAACAAGCCTGTACCAGTCTCATGTCCTACACTAATAGAGAATGGTAAGAATAAATTCAAACTCAAGTCTGATAGCATGGCCCACTTTTTTCCCACTATATCACATCCTTTCAAGTCCTATTGTCATTAAAGTTCTAAATAATTATAGAAATTTAGCTGTTGAAAGTCAGCACTAGGAGAGAAAAATGAAAATGCCACTTGACATGTTCATTCTAAAAATTATACAGAAATGGAAAGTAACAAATAGCCAAGACCCAACTGAAGAAGAACTGGAATGGAGAGCTTGTTCTCTTGGATATAAAGACATGGCATAAAGCTATAGCAATTAAGACAGTGTGATGCTGGTACAAGCATAGACAAATAGAATGCAATACAGAGTATTGCTTATATTGCTCATGTATTGCTTAACATTTGATTCTTAACAAAGGTGATACTGCAGAGCAGCAGAGAGAGAACAGTCTTTTCAATAAATGATGCTAGGATATTTGAAAACGAATCTTGGCAAGAAAAAAAAAACCTTTAACTCACATCATACACAAAGGACAATCCAATGTAGATTGTAGATCTAAATTTGAAAGGAAAAAATACCTGAGCTCAATTACCTGAGCACATCACAGCCTAATGGAAGCTAACCGAAAAGAAATAATGCAAGCATTAACTATGATCATTATTCTAGGTGCTTATTTCATTCTCCTACAAATCTCAGAATATATTGAAAGTTCATTTACTATTTCTGATGGAATTTATGGCTCCACATTCTTTGTCACTACAGGATTTCATGGCTTCCATGCTATTATTGGATCTACATTTCTCACTACATGTCTTCTTCACAAACTAATATTTCACTTTATAACCAATCACCACTTCGGCTTCAAAGCTGCTGCATGATACTGACACTTCATAGACATAGTGTGACTGTTCCTGTATATTTCCATTTACTGATGTGGATCCTACTCTCTTAGTATAAAAGTACCATTGACTTCCAATCAATAAGCTTTGATTCAAACCCGAAAGAGAGTAATTAACCTAACAATAACTTTAGCAACTGACACTCTCTTAGCCCTATTACTGATTATGATCACATTCTGACTCCCACAATTAAACGTTTATAGAGAAAAATATAACCCCTATGAATGTGGGTTTGATCCCATAGCCTCTGCTCGCCTACCTTTCTCTATAAAATTCTTTTTAATTGCTACTACATTCCTTCTATTCGGCCTAGAAATTGCCCTGCTACTACCCCTACCATGAGCAACCCAAACAAGTAATCTAATGTTAACAATTAGCACAATTCTTATGCTAGTAATTAGTTTAATTCAGGCGTAGTTTATGAATGAACTCAAAAAGGATTAAACTGAGCCAAATTGGTATATAGTTTAAATCAAAACAAATGATTTTGACTCATTAGATTATGATGAATTATATCTACCAAATGCCTTTTATTTATATTAATAATATACTAGCATATTCTATATCTCTACCAGGAACATTAATTTATCGATCCCACCTAATCTCTACTATGTTTGGAAGGCAAAATATTATCGTTGTTCATTATAATTATACTCATAACCTTAAATATACATTTTATCTTTTTTTTTTTTTTTGAGACGGAGTTTCGCTCTTGTTACCCAGGCTGGAGTGCAATGGCGCGATCTCGGCTCACTGCAACCTCCGCCTCCTGGGTTCAGGCAATTCTCCTGCCTCAGCCTCCTGAGTAGCTGGGATTACAGGCACGCGCCACCATGACCAGCTAATTTTTTGTAGTTTTAGTAGAGACGGGGTTTCACCATGTTGACCAGGATGGTCTCGATCTCTTGACCTCGTGATCCACCCGCCTCGGCCTCCCAAACTGCTGGGATTACAAGCGTGAGTCACCGCGCCCGGCCATTTTATCTTAATATCTATAATACCTTTTGTCTTTCTAGTATTCGCTGCCTGTGAAGCTGCAGTAGGTCTAGCCCTACTAATTTCAACTTCTAACATACACAGCCTAGATTACTTAAAAAACTTAAATCTACTCCAATGTTAAAAGTTATTTTCCCAACAATTACACTGCTTCCAACAACATGACTTTCAAAAAATTATATAATATGAATTAACATAGTCACTCATAGCTTATTTATCAGTCTCTTTACCCTATTATTCTTTCACTACCCCAGCAACAACCTATGTACCTTCTCACTAACTTTCTTTTCAGATCCGTTAACATTTCCGCGTCTAATCTTAACAGCCTGACTTCTACCTCCCATAATTTTAGCCACTCAACACTACCTATTCAACATTTCCCTCCCACAAAAGAACCTTAACATTTCCATACTAATTATCCTACAAACCTCCTTAATTACAGCATTCACGACCACAGAGCGAATCATATTTTATATCCTATTCGAAGTCACATTAATTCCCACTAATTATTATTACCCACTGAGGATATCAATCAGAACGCCTCAATGCAGGCTCATATTTCTTATTTTATACACTAGTAGGATCCCTTCCCCTACTGGTCATACTTCTTTACACCCAAAACACCTTAGGGTCACTAAATATAGTAACAACAACAGTTATTGCTCAAGAAATATTATTCTCCTGAACCAACAATGTTACATGACTAGCATATATAACGGCCTTTAGAGTCAAATGCCTCTATATGGACTCTACCTATGACTCCCTAAAGCCCATGTAGAAGCCCCTATAGCCAGCTCAATAGTACTTGCAGCAGTACTGCTAAAATTAGGCAGCTATGGCATAATATGAATTACCCCTGTCCTTAACCCCCTAACAGAAACCATAAGCTATCCTTTCCTCATTTTATCCTCATGAGGTATAATTTTGACAAGCTCTATCTGTTTACGACAAACTGACCTAAAATTACTCATCGCCTATTCTTCCGTAAGCCATATAGCACTTGTTATTCTAGCAATCCTCATTCAAGCCCCTTGAAGTTTTACAAGCACTACTACTCTCATAATCGCCCACAGACTCACCTCATCTTTAATGTTCTGCCTAGCAAACTCAAATAATGAACGAATCCATAGCCGAAACATACTATTGACCCGAGGCCTCCGAACATTATTTCCATTAATAGCCCTTTGATGACTTTTAGCAAATTGTACTAATCTTGCCCTACTCCCAACCACTAATTTAATTGGAGAACTCTTTACAATCATAGCCTCCTTCTCCAGATCAAACTTCACTATTATACTTATAGGACTTAACATACTAATTACATCCCTTTATTCACTATACATATTTACCTCAACACAACGGAGAGCATTAATGTACAACATTAGCTGTATTAAACCTTCCTTCACACAGGAAAATATTTTATTATTTATACATCTTGCAACAGTCCTACTCCTTACTCTAAACCCCAAAACAATCACAGGATTAACATCCTGTAGCTATAGTTTAACTAAAACATTAGATTGTGAATCTAACAATAGAAGCCTACAACTTCTTATCTACCGAGAAAGTATGCAAGAACTACTAACTCATGCCCTCAAGTCTAATAACATAGCTTTCTTACTTTCTTTTTTCTTTCTTTTTTTTTTTTTTTGAGACAGTCTCGCTCTGTCACCAGGCACCAGGCTGGAGTGCAATGGCGCTATCTTGGCTCACTGCAACCTTCACCTCCTGGGTTCAAGTAATTCTCCTGCCTCAGCCTCCCGAGTAGCTGGAACTACAGGCGCCTGCCACCATGTCAAGCTAATTTTTGTTTTTTAGTAGAGATGGGGTTTCACCATGTTGGCCAGGATGGTCTTGATCTCTTGACCTCGTGATCTGCCCACCTCGGTCTCCCAAAGTGCTGGAATTACAGGTGTGAGCCACCACGCCTGGCCCTGGCTTTCTTACTTTTAAAGGATAGAAGTAATCTATTGGTCTTAGGAAGCAAAAATATTGGTGCAACTCCAAATAAAAGTGAAAAAGTATTCTTCCATCACTTTAATAACCCTAATTCCCCTATTCTTACCTATTTTCATTAATCCCCCTAAAAAGATCCTATATCCATACTATGTAAAAATGGCTATTGTATATGCCTTCATCACCAGCCTTATCTCTATAACAGTATTTGTTCTCACAAATCAAGAAACTATTATTTCAAATTGACATTGAATAACAATCCAAACCCTTAAACTATCATTAAGTTTCAAACTAGACCTCTTCTCCACGATATTTACCCCCATAGCATTATTTGTTACTTGGTCTATCATAGAATTCTCAATACGATATATCTAGATCCAAATATCAATCAATTCCTCAAATATTTACTCATTTTTCTCATCACAATATTAATCCTAATCACCACCAATGGACTCTTTCAACTTTTTATTGGTTGAGAAGGAATAGGCATTATAGCTTTCCTATTAATCAGCTTATGGTACCGCCGAGCAGATGCTAACACAGCGGCCCTCCAAGCAATCTTATATAACTGTATTGGTGATAATTGGTTTTATCCTAGCAATAGCATGATTCTTTTTATTCTCCAACTCATGAGACTTCCAACAAATATTCATCCTCAACTGCACCCCAAATTTCTTTCCACTAATAAATCTCCTCTTAGGAGCCTTCTAGAGGATAATACAAAATACCTTTATGATCTTGGTGTAGAGAAAGTGTTCTAAAACAGGAAACATATTTATTAAGTTGATGAATTTGACTCTGTTATAATCAAGAATTTTTCTTCTTCAAAAGACTATATAATGAAAAGATAAACCACAAAAAGGAGAGGAACTTTATAGCATACACAACTGATAAAGGGCTTATATCCAGGGTATACTGTATAAAGAACTACTGGAAATCAATAACAAAAAGATAAACAACTTCAGTTGGAACATAGGCCAGAGACCTGAACAGGCATTTCACAAAAGAGAATATCAAATAGCCAATAAACATATGAAAATTGCTCAGTCTCATTACTAATCAGGAAAATGAAAATTAAAACCACAATTGGGCCTAAGAATGGTGGCTCACACCTTTAATCCCAGCACCGTGGGAGGCCGAGGCTGAAGGGTCGCTTGAGCCCAGGAGTGCAAGATCAAATTGGACAACATGTCGAAAACCCATGTCTAAAAATAAATAAATAAATAAAAATTAAAAGAAAAAAAGGCCAGCCTGGGCAACATAGCAAGACTCTGTCTCTACAAAAAAAAAAAAAAAAAAAAAAATCAAGGTATGGTGGCATGTTCCTGTAGTGCCAGTTACTTGGGAGGCTAATGTGGGAGGCTTAATTGTACCCAGGAGTTTGAAGCTGAAGTGAGCTACTGCACACCAGCCTGGGTGATAGAGCAAGATTCTGTCTTTAAAAAACAAAATGAAATAAAATAAAACACACAAACGAAACACACAATTGGATAATAGCATATATCCCCCAGAAAAGCTAAAATTAAACAAACTGACAATAATAACTATTGGCAAGGGTGTGAGGCACTGGGAACTCTCATACACTGCTGGCAGGAGTGACGCAACCACAGTTTGACTTTCTCTACTAAGGTTGAAGGTGCATACTCAGTGATCCAACAATTCCACTATCATAGACCCAGTACAAAAGTGTACACATATATCTCAAGAGACACATATACAAATGTTCATGAGGTGTTATTTGTAATAGCTCCAAACTGGAAATAACCCAAATATGGCATTGACAGTAGAATGAGTAAATATGGAGTGTGATATATTCATACAATGGAATGATATTCAGCAATGGAAATGAGCAGGCTAAATCTATATGCAACATTATGGATGGTTATGGATGACTTTTAGGTACAAATCTTTTTACAACATTATGGATTCATTATGGCTGAATCTTAGATACAAAAGAACACACGTACAGTTAGTGTCCTCGGACAGAGTTTCCTGACGGATCCCTGTCATCTGGAGTTAGTGGCAGCAGGGTAGCCCCTAGGACCAAAGTGTGTTGGGCAAGATGTTCCAGCAGGCAGCTGCTCTAAGGTAACTGCTTCGTTAGAGGTTTAGAGATGAGCAGGTTTAGAGAACTAGGGATTAGGGTTTCCTTTTTCTGGGAAAGGCCAGGAGGGAGAGAAAATGGGGAGATGGGCGTCTAAAAAATGTCCACCTTAATCATTTTCAGATCTACTTTAAGGCTTTCTCCTCTTGTTCAGTGTTATTCCTCTTGTAAAAAGTTTTAAAAACCAGGCAAGATTAACCTGCAGTGTTTAAGAGTACGTGTTTACAAAAGTCAAGATAATAGTTACCTTTGGGAGAACAGAAGGGATAGTAATTGAGAGAGGGTTGATGATAATGTTCTTTTTATTGAGCTGAGTAGTAGCTACATGGATGTTTGTGGATAATTTGTTGAGCTAAACATTTTTGTATTGTGCTCTTTTCTGCCTTTCTGATTGAGAATTATATTTCACAACAAAAAAAGGTTTAAAAGATCATAATTTTTAAATTCCCATTCAATTTCACTGAGGAAAAAAAAGTATTCAGTGTCTATGTGTTAGGCATGGTACTCTTTTTCTGAAGCCAAGGGAGAAATGAAATACAAAGATGAATGGCATGGTTCCTGTCTCCAGTAAGCTTACAATAAAGTATTACAAGGCAGAATGCAATAAGCAGCAAATAAAGGCATTGTTATGTTATTTGCACTACTTAGGTTTAAAACATCACCTTATCGACCAGGTGAGATTGCTCACTCCTGTAATCCCAACACTTTGGGAGGCTGAGGCAGGTGGATCATGAGGTTAGGGGTTCAACACCAGGCTGGCTGAGATGGTGAAATCCCGCCTCTACTAAAACTACAAAAATTAGCCAGGCGTGGTGGCAGGCACCTGGATTCCTAGCTATTCGGGAGGCTGAGGCAGGAGAATCGCTTGAACCTGGGTGGCAGAGGTTGCAGTGAGCCGAGATGGCGCCACTCCACTGTAGCCTTGGCGACAGAGTGAGACTTGGTCTCAAAAAAAAAAAAAATTACCTAAAAATTTTATTTAAAAGTTAATGGCCTCAATGGGAAGAATTGAGATATAAGAAAAAATAATAATAAAGTTCTTTTTTTCAGTAATGGCAGCAATAAAGATGTTTGTTATTGTGGCTTAAAAACAACAGATTGGGGCTGGGCACGGTGGCTCATGCCTGTAATCCCAGCACTCTGTGAGGTTAAAGAGGGTGGATCACCTGAGGTCAGGAGTTTGAGACCAGCCTGGCCAGCATGGTGAAACCCCAGCTCTACTAAAAATACAAAAAGTAGTCAGCCAGGTTGGTGTGTGCCTGTAAACCCAGCTACTCGGGAGGCTGAGGCAGGAGAATCACTTGAACCCAGAAGGTGGAGGTTGAAGTGAGCTGAGATCATGCCATTGTACTCCAGCCTGGGCAACAGAGCAAGACTTTGTCTCAAATAATAATAATAATAATAACAGATTAGTTGATCAAAATGAACAAAAACAAGCCTGAACCCTTCTCGTGGCCCTTTAATTTCACACTCTGAAGTTTTCCATCACTGCTATCATATCTGGCCTTTAAGTTTTCCAAGAGCTTACATTCCAAAAAGATAATTTTAAAAACCTTATTAACATTGACTTTAATAATATGAAATCCAGGCCGGGCATGATGGCTCATGCCTGCAATCCCAGTATTTTGGGATGCTGAGGCAGTGGATCACTTGAGGCCAGGAGTTCAAGACCAGTCTGGCTAACATGGCAAAACCCCATCTCTACTAAAAATACCAAAATTAGTTGGGCATGGTGGCACACACCTGTAATCCCAGCTGCTCGGGAGGGTGAGGCAGGAGAATTGCTTGAACCTAGGAGGCAGATGTTGCATGTTGAAGTGAGACAAGACTGTGCCACTGCGCTCTAGCCTAGGTGACAGAGTGAGACTCCGTCTCACACACACACACACACACACACACACACACACACCCAACAGCTCTAATGATAATGCATGTCTTTGTTTGATTGCTTGTTTGTGAGACAGAGTCTCACTCTGTCGCCCAGGCTGGAGTGCAGGGTGCCATCTTGGCTCACTGCAACCTCTGCCTCCCGGATTCAAGTGATTCTCCTGCCTCAGCCTCCCAAGTAGCTGGGACTACAGGCATGTGCCGCTATGCCCAGCTAATTTTGTCTACGCATATTTAGTAGAGATGGTGTTTCACCGTGTTAGCCAGGATGGCCTCAATCTCCTGACCCCACGATCTGCCTGACTCGGCCTCCCAAAGTGCTGGGATTACAGGCGTGAGCCACCGCGCCCAGCTAATGCATGCTTTTTCAAAGAATTTATCACCCTTGACTTGTGCCCAAGTCATGA